TGCTTTTGAGTGGCATATAATCTATTGTTTCAAAATTTTTCTTTCTAATTTTCTGAAGAGTCTTAAGTTAGAAGACCCAAGTGAACCATTTAGGGCTGATTTTCTGATATGTCAATATCTAGTCTTCTTAAAATGTATGTCGATTTGGAAATAGAAGTTGGTATCTCAAGCTTTCAGAGACCTTACTCTCTAGAGAAGGATCAAACAAGAAAAGTTGTAGAAATAAAAGAAAGAGTATATTTTGCCAGGGCACTTGATTTCTACAAACATGAATGTACTATCACATGGTTTCTTTGGAAATTAAATACCTAAAGGGGCTCTAGAGGTTGCAGCTCATAGAATTCACACTATCTCTCCTCTGTGATGTTTTACATTTAGATATGATGAGAGGAATGTGTACATATCTCACTCATTTGTCACGTTTGAGTGAAGGCAGTGTGATGTAGTGAAACCACAGACATGGATGCAAGTCTCAAGTTCCTAATTTTCTTTTCTTTTTTGAAGAGGGATTTTTTTTTTTTCTATAGGGTGCGTGCACTCACCAGAAAGACAGAGAGAGACAGAAAGTGAGAAATCATCACCCCCCAGGGGAGATGGCCACGCAGCAATCCCTTCTCCTCCACTCTCCTCTCGGGATCTTGGGCATGCACACACAAGTGCCTGGTGTGAATTTAAGCCGCCAGGTCCGGGGCTTGAACTACGGTTGACTACATGGGAATTAAGCGACATAGCCATTACGCTAACTGTTCATCCCTCAAGTTCATAATTTTCTTATTTGGAGGTGAGCATGTATCATTCTTATCTTCAATTTTTCTATCAATTAAAGGAAGTCAATCATCTCCACCCACCTACCAGTCGCAGATAACATATGGGCAGGGGTTTATATTCTTGAAAACAGCATAAAAGAGCAAACCCTAGTATACCTCCAATCAAAAAACCGCTCTCCTATGTTTAAGTACCCATGGCCTTTTGCATTGACTCTTTTAATAGTTTCTTATTGCTTTCCCTGCTCTCATCCTATTCTGTACGCAGCTACCAAGCTGGCCATCATGAAATCTGACTTCTTCATGCCATTCTTGTTTTCCTTTTTTTTTCAACAAAATAAAGTTCAAACGCTGTAGTTTGGAAGTTTAATAACTCTCCCGAACATCATTATATCTTCTTCTAGACAGATTGCTCACTGCACTATATTTTACCCCACCCCCTACTCTCTCCACACACACTTTAAAAGCTATTTCCTATTTTCACCCCTCCCATACCATTCTGTCCCCCTAGAAGGCAACTCTTTATTCTCCAGATCATCTCATCTCTTCACATCATTTTCTATACTCATCTATGCAATGAGAACTTTGATTAATTTCTTTTCTCATTGAGCACCTAATGTCACACACGCATACTCTCTCAAGGGGACAAGGGCCTTTTCCTTGAACAGAATCTTGTATTCAATAATCTTATCTGAAAATATTTTTAAATACATAATTTTAGGGTGACTGTGAGGAAGAAATGAAACTGTATATGTAGAGGATCTGACACATTTTAGAACACATTTTAGTTGGTGTTCAAAAGGTATAGCCTTTGCTATGATCAGACTGCTTGATGACTTTAGAGAGAACGTAGGCTTCAGAATCGTCTTCACAAGATTTCTTTCCAGTGTAGTAGCCAAAAGCAAATTAAGTGGCTTACATTCCTTGGTGTTTGCCTAGGAGAAATTATTGAACATGTCCACCAAAAGACAAACGCAAGAACATTCATAGCAGATTTACTCATAGTAGACTCACACGCAAAATGGAAGCACATCACAAATCCATCTATAGGAGAATAGATAAATGTCATATAGTCATGGAATGGAATACTATGCAGCAATGAAAAGGCAGCTACATACAATAGATGAATCTCATGGGCATAATGATGAGTGAAAAACAAGACACAAAAGAATGTGTGCTCAAAGTTTCTATATTTTGGAAATCCAAGATAGCATTAATCGTTGATAATGGAAGAATAATACTTATTTCTCAGGGTAGAGAGTTTTGACTGAGAAGGGACAGGTACATTATTACTGGAAATAATGTGGGTAATGGTTACACTGGTGCACAGTTAGGCAAAAATTTATTAAACTGTACACTAGTAGAATTTGTAGGCTATATTTTACCTCGTTAAAAACATTTTTTGCCACATGGCTTAGGAGAAGAAAACAGAGAGAAATATTTTCATGTTTAAAGTTCTTTTCTTGCCAGTCAACTTTATTCTCTTCCTCTCTCCTTCAGAGATATTGGAAATTTTAACTTTCTTTTCACTGAAATTGATAATTTGTTGTTCAGCCACTACCACCATTTCCCCATTTCCTACTGCTTTATTAGAACTTTGCATCCTTATCACTCAGCGGGCTTCTGTGTCTAAGAATCTCAAGAGGGAGTAACTTAACTGCTGGGCAGAAATGTATTTAGGCTTTCACTGGTTCACTTGGATATTTTATCCTGGATGAAGAGTTGGGGAGCCAGTGAAACCACCATTCCCTGGCATGCTTAGGCGAACAGATGGATACCTGCAATATGCAGAAAGAATGTCAAGCTTGTGTGAGATACAGAGGGGGGAATGCAGGTGACAGTAAAGGATAGGTGGGGCTGAGGGTCCATATGTGAGACACTTTCTATGTTTCCTCTTTTATTCAGAACATCTGACTGTCTGACACATTTTAGCTCATCCCAAGTAGTATATAATGAATACTACTTTGTCATTCATTGCACCTCTGCATTTTGTCCGACTAGCTCTTTACAAAATAATCTCTGATGTTGCCATCCATTCAAGGAAACTAAATTGAGACGCTTCTCTTCTTTTCTGACAATATTCTACTCTCTATATTTCCTCCACCATTTGACTTAGTGAAACCCCCCAGTTCCTTTTCCAGCTCTAATCAGGCAGCTCTTCTAGAGTTTTCTTTGGGACCGGCAGATGGCATGGTGGTTGAGGGTGCTGGACTTTCACATGGCTGACTGCAGTTTGGGTCCAAGACCTGGTGGCTTGTTTTCTTGCTTTCTCTCTCCCCCTGGCTGGCCAAATTAAAATAAATAAATAAATAAATAACATTAAATAAAATAATTCTTTTTTTTAAAAAAAAAAAAAGGAAATAGAGTTTTCTTTGACTATGACTGCCGTGGTTTTGCCAAGGTTTAGTGGTACTATACCAGTGAGTAGGACTTATTTCAGTTTTGTACCCTCATCAGAATATCAGAAATAGATAACTCATACCCTCCAATTCAAAGTTAATATTTTCTTCCCTTCCTCACTCCTCTCCCTCCCTCCCTTTCTCTCTCCCTCTTTGGCCCCCTCCCTCCCTCCCTCTCAATTCACAAACCCAGCCATAGCACCTGCTTCACAGAAACAAGGCTGGTCCTGTTCTGATTTCTCAAAGCCTCTTTTAAAAACCAAACGGAGACGCACAGTGCCTCTTCCTGACACACGCTGAAGTGAAAGGAGGCACACAGAAGGAAAACACTACAGGCAAAACAATTCTCTGTTTTGGAAGCAGGACATTATTTTTCGTAATCTTTTCCCAGAAACACAAAGTTCTCCTCTTTGCCTTCACCATCTTGGTGTGGGAGAGAACATTGCTTGATTTAGCTTGTCAGCATCTCTAAGTCTGTCTCCAGCCATCTTCCTGAGTTTCTACTATCTTTTCTCCACACCCCCTACCCAGTCTCTCTCCTGTCTCTGGGGTGCATGTGTGTGTGTGTGTGTGTGTGTGTGTGTGTGTGTGTGTGTGGTGTGCCTGTGCACTATTTCTCACTTGGGGGCTCATTTGTAATTAAGTAATTCAAAGGCTTAAATGCACAAAACAACTGAATGAAACCTCAAATTAGAAGGAAAATGGCTCAAATGGGTCCCCATCTCTGGGAGTTCTAGTTAAACAAGCAAACAAAATGGGCTGGGACAAATGATTATTGTAACTCAGGAAAATTAGAAGAAAATGTAATTAGCTCCCCAGCTACTGCTTGTTCCTCAGCCTTCTTAGACCGCCAACCCCCCAGCCGAGAATCTATCTAAGGCTTCCTTATGCACACCAAAAAGTCCCTGCTGCAAAGCTGGGAGGGTTAACTGAGCTGGTACCCCAGCCTGCCAGCTAGCCAAAGGAGAGAGCCCAGAGGCTCAGAGCCCGCCCACGGCCAGGCCGTTCAGCCAATGAGCACCTGTGGGGAGTGTGGCGCTGTGTGCCATTGGCTGCCAACCTATGTGCATAAGAAAGAAAGAGAGAGGCAGGCAGGGCAGCATTGTTATCTTAAGACACTCATCTGGTGTCTGAGTCTGCAGGTGACACTGCTTAGGTGCCGGGCGCCGAGTCGGAGCGGGGACGCGCCAGGCTGCAGCCCTGGGACGGAATCCGCCTGCTTCGCCAGCTGCTAACGCCTGCTCCGGCCGCCCCTCCGCGGAGCTCGGAGGATCCTAGTCGCACTTGCTCAGGGATGTGCACCTGCGGTGCGCTCCGAGGGCAGGAGCAGGTCGACAAGCAGCCGGGGGAGAAGGGAAGCCGGAGGAGCAGTTGCTGTCCATGTGCAAGACAGTGATTTCGGGTGACAGACGGGGCGGGTGAGTCTCCTTAGAGTTGGAAAGAAGGCGAGATCTTGGGTTTGTCTTCGGTAGAGGGACAGGGGACTGCCCCAGTTGGGCGCCGCACTTTCCTTTCCTCTCCCACCCCGCGTGCGCCCGGCCCAGCCCCCAAGCCCCACTTCAAAGATGCGCTGGGTGCCCGAGATCCCTGCTGCTCAGCGGGAAGGCAGCAGGCAAGTGGGGGCGGCGGCGTCGGCAGCGAACCCGGAGCGAGAGAATTTGAAAAGAGGCATCGGCTCCCTCTCACACTCTGAGGGGGAGGCAGTCGCATTTCCCCAAATGAAAAAAAGCCACAAGAAATCATGAAGTAAAAACTTTGGAAAGCTGCCACCGGCACCGGAGATGTTGCACAAAAACCTGGAATCTTTTAGGAGTCTCCTCCCAGTCGCCGGAGGCTTGGGGAGCAGCTGATACCACTGGAGGGATCTTGCAAGGATTCGAGGTAACAGTGCAGGGTTGGGCGATTTTTCTCTATCCCCTTTTCATTGTCCTTTTGGTGTGTCCATTGGCGAGGGGATCATTTACCCTCTTGCCCTGGTGCCCCCAGCAGCTGCAGGCAGAGGGAAGGAGTCCACTTCTCAGTTTCTGCCTTATGGAGCTGAGAATGGACTTTAGGCTTCGGCTAGAGATCGCTCCGGTATTGCCTCCTGGTGTTGCACGGCTGTCACACAGCTCAGGCACTCTGCCTGACCTATATTGCTTTTGCCTGGTTTAAGTCCTCAAAGTTAGTGCAACTCCCATTAGCTTCAGAAAATCCAATCAGACTGCATAATTGCAGAAGATGACGAGGACTTTTGCCTGCTGAGGCCGATGCTGGACTGAACCGTCAGGCTCACTACGTTGAAGAAGGACCCAAAAGAGCTGAGGTTGTGATGCACGATTGCACGGTGTATCTCTTTACATGTTCATAGAGAGCTATGGCATGTCTGTAGAGGCTCATCTCTTTCTCTCTTGCACATGCAGCCAGGAAAAAATACATCCAAAGAGTGAGCCCCATGGGTTGCAAATAGTCTCCCCAGGGTGGTGGCAGAAGCCCCACTGATTGAGTTGAGCCTGGCAGAGCACCAGAGACACTAAAGGAGAGCATTGCTGTGCTGAAAGGAAGGGTATGCTGGTGTCAGCTAGCAAATCTCTGTCCCTGTTTCTGTGATCATCTGGGTACACAGTCAAAGGCTGCCTGTGGGGTGTGTGTGTGTGTGTGTGTGTGTGCGTGCGCGCACGCTTGTGCTCACAGCTGTATGCAGGAAGCAAGCTGCCCACAGAACAACCAAGCTTATGCAGCACCCTGCCCAGGCCACGGATGCCAGGAGTGTCCCTGCCTAGTAGGGGCATGAACTTGTGAGCTGCTGTTCTAATCCAGAGGACTCTTTTCCCCACCAAGCAGTCCCTCTGCATGGAACATATTTATCCAGAGTATATAGACCTAAGCTAAATATTAACTAATACTCAAGCTAATGCACTGGAACATGATTGAACAGACCCCTCTGTAAAGAACTGTATGTGTGCTCTTCCCAGCCCTGCGAGTGAGTTGCCCTGAGCAGAAACAAATGTTTTGTTGAAAGGATAACAATTATAAAGGCCATGCATGTTGCTGGTTAATCTGGGCCTTAACCAGCAGGGACAGGGATATGTGTGCATAGGCCAGTCAAAGGAGAAAATGCAAGTATTTCTGCCTCTTTTTCTTCAGGCATGTGCGTATTGAAGTGACTCCATTGGACCATGTTCTCTAGAATCCATGCAATGCCAGTAGTAACCAAGCAGCAAAAGTATTTTACCAAATCCCCTGGGGGGCAGTCTGATGACATCAGGCAACAGCAAAGTGATGGTGGAGACTCTGTTTTCCCTCTTGACTTCACACAGTTGTGTACACTTTATTTGTTTAAGGCACCACCCTCTGGAGTTCTTTCCACCCAGGAGAAGTTGCTTTGCAGCATGGAGGGCATGACCAAGCAGTGTTGCCACAATGATTCTGTCTTATCAATATCATAGCTACTACCTACTCTGGGGTGCATGCTTAGCTTCTTCAAGGGATGTGATTGGGAAATGGATACCGTGGAACGTTTGAGGGAAAGGAAGCAAATGTTAGACCATAGTCTTCACTGCTGGAGGGCAGCTGGCTCCAAAGTGTTCAACAGCTTGGCTGCAGCCATGGAAAAGACAGGAGCATTCTTGAGTCTTGCTTCTCCTTTCCTACCAAAAATGGAGCTGGCTTTGTCTCTCAGAATTAAGTGATATGTGCTGCAGTGTGACACAAGAAAGGGGGTGAGGAGCCAAGGGCTGCGAGGGGAGGAAGGCCTCTGCTCTGCTAACATTGGGCTAGTCTCAAGAACCAAGAGCATCACCTTCTGTGTTTCACCCTTAAAATCACCTTCTGGGTGTTCCCTTCTGGCCTCCTCACAGGTTGTTTACTGAGCAAGGCCACAGGGCAAAGAACATCTCTGCGTCATCAACTCCTTATGATCCCCTTTCCCAAGGCATAGGCTAGCCACTGGGGAGCATCACATAAAAAAAGATCCCCTCTGAGGTGATGCTTCAAATCCCTCCTCAGCTCACAAACAAGAGGTAGTAATCTGGAGGGACTAGAGACATCTGCGTGGGCACATTCTGCTGACTGGGATGCTTAGTGTTGAGGTTTCCTAGTTAGTATCTTGTTTTCCCCACTGTGCAGTGTATTTTTGGTGATTCAACTCTTTCTCTTAAATAATAAGACCTTGTATACATTTTATGGTGGTATCCTTTTCCGAAGAGCTGGGAGCATTTTACAGAGCTCATCTAATCAATCCTCACATGGCTTATTGTCTCATTTATCTTTGATTACCCCAAGAAGTAGAGCTAGAATGATTTTAGCTTCCTTCTTGGAAAAGGGAGAGCAGAGAACCTCAGGAAGAGGCACTGCTTTTTATGGGGTCACAGCAATTAAGGGAGACTATGGAATGAGGTCTGGATCTCACTGCTCCTAAGCCAACCCCAGACTTCATTGGCTTCTTCCAAGAAATGGTATATTCTTCGTAATCATGATCTGAGTTAGTTGTTCTGTGTTTTACAAAGATGGAAGGTTGCAGAGACACAGGGCTTTTCCTCTGGCACTCACCTGAGGGAGATGGGCCTTTGCCCTCAGTGATCTTACAGTCTAGTTAGAAAAATAGGCTGACATCTGGGAAAAGGTAAGTGATAACAGAAGTTCTAAACTGCAGTTCAAGACAAGAGAAGTCACAAGGCTGACCTAATTAATCTGCAAGTGATTGGTACAGGTAATGAGAGCCATCCATATTCAAAAGAGGGAAGATTTAGGTTGAACCATGAGGGATGGAGTAAGATTGATTCTGCTAGAAGAGTGGGGAAAGGGTCCCAGCTGACAAAGATGCCAACTTCAGCATAGTTCAGATGGTTGGAAACTTTAAGGCTTCCATGATTCCTTCAGGTTTATCCTGGACCTTATCTTCCTTTGCATCCTAGAAATGCAACCATACACCTGGCTTAATTATTTAAAAAATATATTGGCTTAGAGAAAGTTTCCCTAGGCCCCAGAAAGAGGAATCTGCAATGTTGGACATCTCATTAGGTGTTGAAAATTACTTGGCCCTCTACCCACCCTCAAGTCTAATTTATATATTATGAGAAAAATACTGCTCAAGGTCAGAGAGCTCATCAACATAATATTGAAAAATCCAAATGAGGATATTGGGGGAAAGCAGGCAAAATATCAAGAGAACAGGAGAAGATTGTCTCATATTTTAGAATCAGAATCTCCTAAAAGAGAGCCTTGATTTTCCTCCATTTCCTATTTCTCCACCCAAATCTTTCTCTTGGGGTTTACTTGGAACTGGCAAAATGCCAAAGCCTTTAGGCATTTAGCATTGAGCAGGAGATTTTCAGTCTTAAGATTCTTGAGCATGCCCATGTACATAACCTCTCGTCTCCCCTTCTCTT